GGTACATGGTTTTTAAATGAGGAAATAAATGAAACGTTTCTCATACCAAAGGTAAAGTGGACATATATGTGCTTGTCTGAACAGATGAGTTTAAAGTACTTTTACAGGATATTGTATAATCTGAGGTCCAAAGAGATAAAAAAAAAAGAAAAAGAAAAGAAAAAGTAAAAGGCTTATAAGTAAAAGGAAAATAGAGATGGGACTATTTCCATAAGGTCTTAGGGGTGGCTTTCAAGGCAACAGTCCTGAGTTTAACAGTATTTCTTAAATGGAAAACAAGAGTGGTTCAAAGAGTTGATGTGAGCATCAAAACACTGGTTAAAAAAAAAAAAAAGAGCATGATGAAAAAGATTCCATTAATAAGCTTTTATGATTGACGAAAGGGACTCCAATCCCTGTCTGATTTGGGCAGTAACACTCTCGTTAGCGATAATTAGACAAAGCCTTGTCCGCAAAAAAAGTGAACATGTGAAAATTAACTGAATGCAGTACAAATTTAATTTGTTTTAATAAGGATTACTGGCTAAAAAAGGGCCACCCTCGGCACCTGACTCTACCATTTACCACCTTCCGTGCTGTGGAAATTCTTTTATCCCGTTCTAACTTTCAGTTGTACTTTTGTCATGCTGGCATGTTTGCGATCATCAAATTTTTAAAAATTTAATATAACAAATATAACCCAATTAAATACGTTTTTTTTTTTTTTAAATTATTACATTTTGTGACGAACATGTGATGAATATGCAAAAAAAAACAAAAAAACAAAAAAAACAAAAGAGAAATGAGGAGAAATGAAGAAATAAGGAAATGGGTCAATGCTTTTTTCACAGCACAGCATTTACTTTCATATTTGTGAGTTTAAGAAACAAGAGCAGTGCTTTTATTTTCTTTCTGAGACAAATGACTCACTGCCCCTCCCTGGTTTACCAATACTGAATTTTCTAGTTTCTGGTGAAACCACCACAGTTTCTTTTATAAATACCAAAAAGTAAAAAATAAAAAAAAGACAGAAAAAAAACATCCATTCCCAAACATTTTCTTATACATTTACTTATATTTTATAATAACAAAATGCATGTACAAACATTATTTAGCATAAACACATGCTAACCGCAAAGCCGCTGCCTCACCTCTTGAATAGGTCGAGGTAGCAGCATTGCGGTGACCCTGCAGTATAAACATGTGGACACCTGTGCTGACATCAGGCCTGCCAACACAGATTCAGTCACTAACTTTAGCTAATATGAGGAAATGGGACATTTTCTATCAGCTGTTTGGTTTGGGAGCTGCTGATGTCGGTCTACATTGTGTGGTAAAACAAAACCCCTTTTTTAAGATCACTAGAGCAACAAAGGCTTTAAATAAAGAGCTTGTAGTGTTTTGTTTACATTCTGAACTCCTCCCAAATCTCAACCTCCACTGAAAGGCTGTAAAGTCATGTTCTTCACAGCTTTGTTAATCCTGCTTCTCTAACATAAAGAACTCGTTTTATAGTTGAACGTGAATTTTAATACCACTTGAGTCCTGAGAATCCATAATGACGACAAGTCTCCAGCCATTTATCCAACTCCCTCCTATCTTCCTTCCAGTACTTTGTCTCTAGCGATGACAGCCTCATCGAACTTTATCATGAGCGTGGTGCCCTTGTGCCAGTGGACGGTGACCTTGGCGGGGAAGCCGCTGTGGGTGAGAATGGCCTCTATGATCCCTCCCGTGAAGGCCGCGCAGTTTAAGGTGCTGTTCTCCTTGGGAACAGAGATGTAGGTGTTGACGAGGGGCTCCTTCTCTATGATGTAGTAAGTCTTGTCATCGTCGTTGGCTTGCTCAAGCTTGTCTGCTTCCTTACCAAAGAGTGCTCTCCACACAGATACCTGAGAAGGACAAAGAAAATGACAGGATGACAGGGGATGCACAAAACATGTGCAATCCAAAAAAAATTACTTTATTTGCTTTGGGAGAAAGTGTGCAAAGTGACAGGCAATGACTTTTTTCTGCAGCTAAAGGTAGAGGCATAACAAAGATAACACAACTGAGATAAAAATTTAAAAGAAAATGGCAAAATTAGTCATTTAAATAGTGCCAAGATCTAGTTTACCTTTGTTTATGCAAAAACTAATGTAATTTCCATGTGTCTGTTACGCAACATGGGACAGACAGTGATGAACAGTTTTAATCTTTCAGAGCTCTAACATGCAGTCACCTCATGAGCAATTAAAATTCAGCACTGAGCCTGAACTAAG